TCTGAATAATCAACCGTTTCTCATTTCAGTGGTGGAATCTTAAACACTTAAAGAAGTGGAATGGGGCAGACAAAACGGCATGTAATATTTGTTTTGAAAACAAAAATAAGTTACAATGTTTGGGTATAGTTTGGTGCAACTGAAGAAATACTACTATCCTCTTACAGAATAAAGTAAGAAGAGGGGATGTAAGTGGTGCTTTTTTTACACAAAGAAATAAAAATTCTTTGCTCATGCAACTTGCACCCAAGGGATTTCAAATCATCTCTTTATGATCATGAATTCACTAACACGCCCATAGCACATCTGTGTAAAATAGACTTAATTACTGTTTTACGGATGAGCAGAATTGAGAATGATGATACTCTAAACTGGTAGCAGAAAGGGAATAGAGACACAAATTTCAAACATACAGTTTGTGCCATGGAGAATAACGGCCCTCCAGGATTGCCCACATCCTCCTCTCCAGAACCTGTGAATATCTTAGGTTACATGATAAAGGAGAATTAGGGTTTCAGGTACAATGAAGAATGTAGACCCATTTAAAATATGGAGAGTAACCTAGATTATCCAGGTGGGCTCAATATAATCATAAGGATCCTTAAAATTGGAAGGAGGCCGAAGAGATTAGAGAAGTGTGGTGTGAGCAATGCTTGACCCAATGTTGCTGGATTTTTTTAAATTGTAGTGTATTTAGAATATTGTATTAGTTTCAAGTGTACAGCAGAGTGATTCAGTATTTTTAAAGATTATACTCCACTAAAAGTTATAATAAAATAAGGGTTATACTTCCGTTGCTGTATAATATCTATTTGTTGCTTTTCTATTTTATACATAGTATCTCCTAATTCCTTGCCCCTTCCCCATCCCCTTTCCCTATTGGTAACCACTAATAGGGAACAAACCAATAGTTTGTTCTCTGTATCTGCGAGTCTGTTTCTGTTTAGTTTATGTATTCATTTGTATCCTATTTTTAGATTAAAGGTAGAAAAGGAAGGTGGGCCCCTCTAGAAACTGCAAAAACAGAAACAGATTTTCCCTTCAGAGCCTCCAGGAGGGAATGCAGCCCTGGCCACAACTTGACTTTAGCCGAGAGACCCACGTTGGGCTTCTCACATACAGAGCTGCACACGTGCTCTGTCCGACTCTTTGCAACCCCCATGGGCTGTAGCCCACCAGGCTGCTCTGTCCAAGGGATTCTCCAGGCAAGAATACTGGAGTGGGTTGCCATGTCCTCCCCTAGGCGATCCTCCCAACCCAGGGATCAAACCCGAGTCTCTTACATCTCCTGCTTTGGCAAGTGGGTTCTTTACCACTAGTGCCACTTGGGAAGCCCAGGTGTTCCTTAACTGTCCACAAAACGCATGAATCCACCTGCCACACGGTGCCAGCAACCTCTTCTGCCAACTGCAGGGCTTCAAGGAATTAGCAAAACTTAGGGTGGGAAAAGGCTTCCCTGGTGGCTCAGCTGGTAAAGAATCTGCCTGTAATGCAGGAGACCCAGGTCTGATCCCTGGGTCGAGAAGATCCCCGGGAGAAGGGAATGGTAACCCACTCCAGTATTCTTGCCTGGAGAATTTCATGGACAGAGGAGCCTGGCAGGTTACATCCATGGGGTCGCAAAGAGTTGGACATGACTAACACTATACTACTACTAATAGGATGGGAAAGAATTCATTTGTGAGCTGTAGAAAGAGACAAAAAAATCTCTAAACTTTCCCAACAGTGCTTCACATCAGAAGTCACTACTCCCAGGTAGATGTACCTTACATAAATGTAAGTTAATTAATTTGTGATGTTTTAAGCCACCCAAGTTTGTGGTAATTTGTTAGAGTGACAGTTGAAAACTAATATTCAGATGCTTAACCATTTTTGAGCCATTAATACAACCATAATAATTTAAAAAAAACTATAATCAATTTAAGCAACCAGATAATAACATTTAATTTGGAAATGTAAGTCTGTTTCAAAGTATTAAAAACAGAAGCACACAGATTCCTTGGCGTAAAGAAAGATGGAAAAGTAAATATCTAAGAAGAATGTTTTTCATCTTCCACCAGCATACTAGAAAAGAAAGAAAATAAACAAAAAGAACATATCAATCTAAAGGATAAATTAAGAGTTTTAAAAATGCTGCTTAGAATAGCCTTCCAGGAGAAGTTTGGGAATCATTGTGCTTTAAGATCTTTAAGATACACAGTGATGTTCTATATACCTGGATGGCTTAGTTATATACTAGCCTGATGACAAGAGCCTAGACTAGACAGTCTCTCATAGCCTCCTCCAGCCTAAATATGCTACACAGACTTGACTCTGTTCAGATTTCAGTGCCACAAATGTTTATTGCCTGTCTACTCAATGTAGGTCTTTCTGGTATGAATAACCAAAGAAAAAGACATAAACTTTAACTTTAAAAGTTCACCGTTTAATAGTGAACCAAGGTTAAACAATCAACCATATTTAAAGGACAGTGAGAATAATTGTAAGGGATGGATAGTGATATAATGATTAAAAATCGTTAAATATCTTACAAATCAATAAAAATAACTGATGCATTCTTACTGATTATAAAATAAACAACAATACCATTGGTCAACACTGCAGATTTCCAGGCATCAATTTATTTCAATGAGAATTTATCTTGTATTTCCTAAATACTGTATAAGAAAAGTGAAAAAGTAAATAAAAGAAAATTCTTCTTTAATATAAAATTTCAGTTGAAAAATGCAAAAGGAATGACAGAATTAGATTCTTTCTAAAATGTAAAAATTGCCATTTTACAACCTCTGTATAAAATAATGGATCTGGGCCATGACCATCAATAGATGCTAAAAACCATTAAGTGAAAATTTGATGATGAATTTTATAATGGCAGGGTCAGGCTGAGGCCACCTAAACATAGCAAACAGTATTAACATTACTAAGTATGACACCAGCCATTTATGTACCTCTTTTGTGAGTTGTTAGGAAATAATACCACCTATAAAGTATTCTTTCCTGAAAATGCTTAACCCAAATCTAACACAGCCTCCAAATCAAAATAGCTTTCATAGGAAATACCAGGATAGAGGAACCAGTTGAAAAATACAGGAAAGCAGCCAGGTAAATACAGATTGTGGACCATAATATATAATCAAATTTCTTTAGCAAATCAATGACATTTAAAGAGAGAAGGGAGAGAGGACTGTTATATAATAAAGAGACTTACGATATGTAACAGTCAAACCTAACATGTAGACCATATAGGATCCTGATTCAAAAAAGAATCAGCTCAAAGAGGGCATTTTTAAAGATGACCAGAGAAATTTAAATACGGACTAGGCATAAAACAATATAATGGGATTACTGTTATAATATTATAAAAGTAAGACTTTATTAAATATATTTTTATCTGTTAGAGATGCATACTGAAGTGCTTAAAGACTATACAAATATAATATCTAGCTATGCTTTAAAATACCCATATGAGCAAATATGAGGAAGACATGGAAAGAGATGAGCAAAAGAGTGACAATATTCAAGTTCCAAGATTATACACAAGAGTCATTATAGGTTTCATTCTTCTTATGTTTGAATTTTTTCATAATAAGAAGTTTTAAGAGTTGAAACAAATAAAAGGGTACCTTGACCGTCCCTCATTACTGAATAAACAAAAGCTTGATATATTTGTGCTAGAAATTTTCTTTGTAGTTTTCTACATATATTTTTCATTAGCAATCTAACTTCGCTCACTTTAAGATAGGATGCCTTCTGCCTCATAAGGAAAGGATGTTTATTATTAACTATATTTTCAATCCATACAACCAAGGATAAAAATTGTCATAAGTAAAATGTTACTTTTAATGCTCAATAAATAAAGGGACAGTGTATCTGTTTCTGTTTGTGTAGGGGTACATGTATAGCTCCCAGCCACTTTTTATATTAATAGTAAAGAGTGGATATGTTGAAGGAATATTTGCAAATTTTCAAATTCCTTATGGTTTATATGATCAAGGTTAATGTTTTTACATTTGTCAAAGTGCCTAGTTCTCAAATTTGGGGGGATAACAAACTGATGTGTTTGCTTTTAACATGCTTATCTTGTGTAAAATTTAGCCTAGGCATTTATAACTAATAATGTTACTCTCTTGCCTAATTTTAAAGTACAAGAGAGACTTACCCATGAGAACCTCTCTGTGAGAAAGAGCTGTAGGGTAAAACTGATTCATCTTTAACTTTGCTGCATATATACACAAATATTAGATCTCATATATAGTAGTTCATGTTACAGGATTAAACTTCAAAGTTTATGGGAAAGCTATTTAGCAATAAGTGTAGCAATGAGCAAAATACAAACCTAATCTTAGTCTGTTCAGGAAGACTTTGACAGCATTCTAAGTCGAGGATTCCATTTTTTTTTTTAAAAAAAGTTATCCTTTGAAATGTTTTATTTGCAAATAATATTTCTGGAGAAGGTTTGACAGTGCTCACATCCTCAAATTACATTTAATGTGATTAAAATATTTTTAAAGATGTAAAATTTTAGAACACAAATACAAGCTTTAATCTTTTGTCTGAAATACTCTAAAAAGTTTAATGTAATATTAATGCTTTGTCTTTTATTTTTAAAGGTAGCTTGTCATGCAGAGACACCCGGAAAGCTGAAGTTCATATTTTATATCAGAAGAAAGTAAAGACACAGCAGGTAGGAAAAGTAATCCACATAAACAAGCTATGTTACAGAGATTTAAGCCCAGTTATTTTAACTATTTTTTCCCTATGCAAGCTTAGTTATATGATCAGGAATTGTAGGTATAATGGCAATGATTATTTCTGCAGTATTATATACTTTTTGATGTAAAGAATTGTGCTATGGGTTACAAGAATTTTGATGTTTGGTATTTATGGCATTCGGTTCAGCTGAGGATGTAGAAAAAAAACGATGCTTCAGGATTCATGTATCATGTAACACGTGTTACCTGTTACCGCTTCTTCCTATGCCTGAAACCCAAAAGTCTTACCGACTATGGCCTCAGTGTATTTCCCTTCGGCAGGAAGAGGGAAGTACTGGTTTGGTGATAAGTTACTGCCATATCCCAGGAGAAAACCTTCCAGTTTTACATTAGGACTTGGACGCAGGAACTTCAGGAGGATGGAGTCACTTGTGGTATTGATGTGGACCTTCAGGTTTGGCCTTTTACCTAGAGATGGGAATGAAAATATCGGTGGCTGTTACTTCACCTCCTTAGCATCCCAAGACAAATTTGGAGCAAAGGTTAGTGGCGAGAGGCCTTGTTACTGGGAAGCGTGATATCTAGCTACTAAGGATGACGGTGCACCCACCTAAATAGCTAAAACATGGGTAATTTTGAGACCAAAATAAACAGACAATAACATATAGAGCAGTCTAGAGCACCAAAGGGCTTCCCCGGTGGCTCAGTCGGTAAAGAATCTGCCTGCAATGCAGGAGACCAGGGTTCGATCCCTGGGTTGGGAAGATCACCCTGGAGAAGGAAATGGCAACCCCCTCCAGTATTCTTGCCTGGAGAATCTTACGGACAGAGGAACCTGACGGGCTACAGTCCATGGGGTCGCAAGAGTCATACATGACTGACTAAACCCCCACCACGAGAATACCAAGCACCGTCTGGTAAAAAGCATCTGAAATTTCTTATCGGCAAATTGAATTACCACACTTTGAAACCCCCAGCCCCCTTGGTGCCGGTCTCCAGCCATAACCCCATAGGATTTAGTGATTATTTATAGGGTTGGAAAGCGAGGGAGGTGCACACATTTTGAGTTTTGCATACATTTAGGAGTAACTGAGATGGTGGATTCGATTTTCTAAAAGGAGCAGGGTAGAGAGAACAGATGATTCGTTCTGTTTGGAGATTGCTGGGTCAGTGAGACAGCTACACGGAAATGTCCAACAGTAAGGGGACTACGAGTGATGCTCAGAAAGAGGGCCCAGATCCCTCTGAGGGTCATTAGTGATAAACGATCACTGGATGTACTTCCCTAGAGAGACTGCAGAGGAAGAAGAGAAACCCTGTGTTTTCACGGCAGTATTATTATTATTATTATTTTTAACTATGAAGCAACAGGGACAGACAGTCGTACTAACCAAAGGTCTTGACCAAGCAGTAAAGAAACAACACTGTTTTTTTTTTTCCTTTGGGGCCAGAAGAAGGTGAGTTCAGACCACTTCGGCCACATACTGACCACGGTGCCTCTGACTGATCACTAACCTGTCCTTGTCTTGTTTCCTGATTTTTAAATTACAGATAATGGATAATGATGTCTACTTGGACAGATTGCTGACAAAGGTTAGTGCAAATGGCACTATCTTAAAGCGGACACATAGCAATAGGTCAATAATTGGTTACTTAATCAGGTCCATCCAACACCCTTTAGCCGCAGTTTAGAAATCCAAAGAAAGGCTTTGTTAGGTTTTTATAAGTTCATGTCAAAAGAATTTGGCAACAAAATTCAATCTGAACTGTTATGAAGCCACATAGTCCTTTAATCTCACCGTACAGCCAGGATAATGTAAAACAACACTGATGTTTTACAACCATACATTAGTTTCTGCTGTTCCACAATGTGAGTCAGTTATACACAGACATACCCACTCTTTTAGATTCCCTCCCCACGTAGGTCACCTCAGAGCATTCAGTAGAGTTCCTTGTGCTATATAGTAGGTTCTCATTAGTTATCTATTTTATATATAGTAGTGTCTATACATCAATTCCAGTCTCCCAATTCATCCCCCCCTCCCTTTCCCTCTTGGCAACTATATGCTTGTTTTCCACATCTGTGTCTCTGCTTCTGCTTTGCAAATAAGTTCATCTGTACTATTTTTCTAGATTCTAATTGTAGAAATTTTAATCCTATAATTAAATGTGCTCAACTAAAGGGTGCTGATTAAGACCCCACCGAAGAGGTTACTTAATACATTGTCTAGGCATCATAGTACAATTCCAAAATCCAAAGATTTTTCTGAATTCCAAAGCATGTCTGACTCTGAGAGTTTTAGATAAGAGATTGTGGACCTCAATTATTTTCTTTCATTATTTCACTGGGATTTTACATTTTTTAAATACTTTACCTATTGGGAAGACTGTATTTACTTACCTAATAATTCACAGTCCGTTTCTCATTAATCAAAGACTTGTATGTATACCAGTCTGCACTCTAAATACCGTGGATGTCCTGAATCCATCACACTAAATTTACATTAGTCCACTCAAAAATCATCCTGGGCCACCTCAATATAGCCACACAGAAGCCTTCCATCAGGCCTTTGAAGAAATAAAAACAGCCCCATCTTGGAGACCAGGCTGTGGGAACCACTCTTACTTCAGTAGCTGGTACTACTATATCCAGGCATGTGTATAGTACTTTGTACTTCACCAAAAGTTGATAAAATTTCTATAATTCTTGGTTCTCTGATTGCTATTCCTACATTTGCAGCTACACTGAAACCCAGAGATACTGAGTGGCTTATCCAAAGTCTGAGGAAGCTTCATCCCGAGCTCACCTCATCCAGTTCTCTTACCACACAAGTGACAGGGCGGCCACACCTCTGTCACTCAGCTGGTTAAGTGCAGGGTCAACACCACATCTTAAGTTCTCACTAGGCTGGATTTTCTGCTCAGTTTTGCTTTTTTTATTTTTAATTGAAGAAAAATTGCTTTATAGTATGATGTTGGTTTCTGCCAGACATCAACATGAATCAACCATAGGTGTACCTATGTCCCCTCCCTCTTGAACCTCCCTCCCAGGTGCCTCCCCATCCCACCCCTCTAGGTTGTTACAGAGCCCCAGTTCCCTGAGTCACACAACAAATTCCCAATGGCTATCTATTTTACATATGGTAACGTTTGCTTCCATGCTCTTAATTTTGCTGAGAATTTTGTCCTGACTCAATTGAGTACAGAGTAGCTAATCCCCATACTGTAATGTTCAAATTGATGCTAACTGCTAATATTTTGTCCTTACTTGACAAGATTTTGATAAGGTGTTATAGATGGATAGTTTCACATGTATAACACAGATTTTGGCCAAGCCAATTTTCCCGTTCTTAGTTAAATGCCTAGATGAACTCAACAGTTATCCATCTTGCTCAGTGGAATGGAACAAATCTAAATCAAGCACATATTCTGCTACCTTGAAAGGTTATCATGTCTCCTGATAAATTAAAAAAAAAAACAGTTGGCCTGTTCCCAACACCTTGTTTGGGAAGACATGATTTGGAATCTTTATGTACTTTGGCTGCACTCTTCTTGGGCAGGGAGCCAACAGTCACGACATCATCACATTAGACCTTTGCTCACAGATGTACCATGTTATTCCTCCCCTTGGGAAGTGGGAAGAATGACTGCCCCAATGAGAAAAAGGAAGGCTGTAAACAGAACTACTAACAAAAGTAGAAATGTTATTGCTTCCTCTGCCCAGCATTTTCATAACTCCAGTCTTTCTCCCTTTTGCTAATAATTCATGTCAATAAATACATCATCATCATGTAACTTTCTAAGTTAATTGGCATTTATCTAACCTACCTTCTCCAAAATTCCAATTCATACCACTCTCTAGAGCTAAACCTCTAAAGCTCCTGAGAAAAACAGCACACAAATAAGCCTATTCTGAAAACAGCACCACAAACTTCATATTTTGAGATTCTCTTCTCAGTTCCTTATGGGAGTTAGGAACTCAAATCCCTTCATTATCTTGCTACATATGAATCCTCTTTTTTTTAAAAAAAATTTTTGTTCAAGTATAGTTGATTTACAATGTTATGTTAGTTTCAAATACACAGCAAAGTGAATCAGTTATACATATAAATATGTACACTCTTTTTAGATTATCTTTCCATATAGGTCATTACAGTGTGTTGAGTAGAATTGAGTAGGTCGTTATTATCTGGTTACTTCTCAAAGTCTCTCATTTGTCTTTGGCTAGTATAAATCTTCTCATATTCTTCAATGTATACAAGACCCTGGCCCTACAGCTATGCTCACATTGTCACCCAGCATGGATTCCCTCAACACCCCATTTCCTCACTCATTTATGACCCCATTGACCCTTTTAGAGCTCAGCAAAATGGTTAAGCAATATTTTGTCCTTTTCATCTGAATACGTTTTTCAAGTGTCCCTTCAAATGAATGTTTGGACTAGTATTTGAGTTTACATGCTTAAAAAAATTTCCCCAGTATTTTAGGGTAATTCTCAGTGCATCCTATAATAATTTTTAACCTTTGATAAATTTATCTTCACTCTGAGTAATTCTGGCTTAAAGGTCTGAAACACTAGTCATGTGATAACTTTTATCTTTCAACAATTAGCATGAAGAGCTCAGGTGAATGATTTAAATAGAGATAACTAAAAAAAAGTACAACATGATACAAGCTAAACTAGGAAAACATTCACAAGTGGCATATATATTGCCCAGGAAAGCCTAGGAATACAGAGAAATGAGAACTGGAAGAACATTTTATTGCATCTTAAATGAGAAACAAAACATATACTAATTAAGAGTGAGATAAAATGAAGCATGTGAGCATTTAAGGAAAGCAATACTAGAATGGCTGGAAAAGAAAAGGATTGCATGTTGGCAAAGTAGAACTTTGGATCTATGACAGCTGTTTCTAATCCTCTACAACACTCTAGGGTATCTCTAAGTATTCCAAATGGGGTTGTGAAATTCTAAAAGAAAAAGAATCCCTTTCAAAACAAAATTAGAATTAATCCCCTTTTAGTTTTTAGAAGAAAATACATGCCCTGTGGCATTAAAAACAGGAAGGTAGTGAAATGAGAAGATCAGAAAAAAGATAGAGAGCTACAAGTTCATAGAACCCTCTGGATCAACCAGAGGAGACAGGTTGCTATTGTTGTAGGCACAGGTGCTGAGCAGACATTTAATGTCGATCCCAGGATTCTGACTGACCATGGCCAGTTTATGCACATGGACATCCCCAGATAGTCAATACCAAAATCAGACTGATTTATATATTCTTCACAGCCAAAGACAAAGAAGCTCTATACAGTCAGCAAAAACAAGACCGGGAGCTGACTGTGGCTCAGATCATGAACTCCTTATGGCCAAATTCAGACTTAAATTAAAGTAGGGAAAACCACAAGACCATTCACCTATGACCTAAATCAATCCCCTTATGATTATACAGTGAAAGTGACAAATAGA